CCTGCTCTGGTGTGGGGTCCTCCCTGGGCTGCAGGGAGGTCTCTGCTCCCCCATGACCCTCCATGGCTGCAGGGCACAGCCATCCTCACCATGGGCTGCCAGGGCGTCTCCCCTCTGGGGCTTGGAGCATCTCCCTCCCCTCCTTCTCCACTGGCTTTGGGGTCTGCAGAGTTGTTCCTCTCACAGCTTGTGTTCTCTCTGTCTGCAAAAATCTCTTCTTCTGGGTTTTGGTTCCCCTTCCTTTCTTAAACATGTTATCCCAGAGATGCTGCCACCATCTCTGGGCTGGGCCTTGGCCAGCAGCCGGTCTGTCTTGGCCTTGGCTGGGATTGCATCTGTCTTGGCCTTGGCTGGCATTGACTCTGTCAGGCAGGGGAAGCTTCTAGCAGCTTCTCACAGAAGCCACCCCTGTAGCCCACTCACTACCAGAACCTTGCCACGCAAACCCAGTACAGTGTAGATGAATAAATTACAAAATATTAGCCCAGAAGCCTCCTAAGCTTTAACTGGGAAACTGCATTTTCAGTCTGCCTCTTTCCCAGGAACAAATTAGTTCCAAATCCCCCTTAGACTTGTTAAGAACTGCACTAGGAAAAAAATGAGGAGGATTGCAGTTGGTCTTTTGTTTGTGTGATCCTAATCCTCCCATATGGAGAGAAGATAACTGTACAATGTTGGGTCTGTACTGGGGGGGTGGGATGCAGCAGTGGTGTTGCCCAGAGAGCATGAAGTGGGCGTGGTGATGCCATCTCTTCTGACAGAAGAGGTGCAGTTGGTGTGTATCTTGTTGCTCATGAGGGGGATGCAGTTCAGCCATTTGGGTAGAAAATAATTTCATTCTGAACCTGCAGTAGCTGGGGATTTTGTAAACTAACTGTATTTTCACCTAACCTATTAACTCAGCATCTTCATTCTTTCTTTAAACTGGATTTATGTGTGGAATAATGAGTGAGTAAAGATGATGTGAGACAGTTTTACTTGTAATACTTAAATTTCCTGTCCATCCCTTACAGGCAGAGTGTGGCGGCAACAGTCAAAACGCTGGAGTAACTCCGGCTGCTGTGGATGGGAAGATCCGAACCAAGCCCCTGATTCCTGAGATGTGCTTTACTACGACTGGTTGCAGCACTGACCTCAATCTTTCAACCCCTTACTTAGAGGAAGATGGAACCAGCATACTCATCACCTGCAAGAACTGCCACGTCTGTGTTCATGCAAGTGAGTGCGTCTGGACTTAACCCTGAACGCCAGTGTCTGTGTAGTAAGTCTGCACATCATAGTAAGCTGCTGCTGGTCTGCTTAACGTACACATAGACCGAGAGCAGCCCTCAGCTGGAGGTGTATACCCCAGTGCTGGCCACTGAAGTACGGAGTTGGCTGCATGGATAACTTGAAGTGTACGGCATCATCCTTAGGCTTGTGGATTTTAATTCCTGCCTTACTTCTGGGCCCTAGGGGAGTGGGTCTGCGTGTTGGTAAGATCTTAAAGTGGGATGTCTGTTCTAGGTTGTTACGGTGTGTCCCCTGACAAGGCCACTGAAGACTGGATGTGCAACAGGTGTACAGAAAATGCCTTAGAGGAGGTAAAGTTTCTCATAGGATTCTCACAGATGGAGTCTGGTACATCTGGGAACTTGCTACAGAGTTCATTTCCATAGTGTGTTTTTTTGAGGTTTTTTCCTACTGTGGAAAGAAGGCAGTTTAGAGAATGTTTAGGAGCTGGTCTGTTGTATTTTGGTGCTTTTAAAGTCATACTGATAGAATCCTTTTAACTAGTGCAAAGCTGCTGAGGTCACTTGAGTCACAGAGATGTTCTGCATGAGTGTGGGAATAGCTCCATTGTCTGTCACAATTCATGGTGGATAATATTTCTAAAACAGAAAGGAACTCCTGTTAATAACTAGAGAGATGTGCACATGTGAAGAAGATTAGAAGAATGGGATTCCCTCAAAATGCTTTATATGCGCTAAGATCAGCAGAGGGGGTCACCCTGTTGAATTGTGTTTGCTGGTGTTTGTTCCAGTTCCTTTTACACATCCCCAAAAGATATTTAGGGTATTTTTATGCTAAAAGGAACCCATAACAAACAAGTTGAAGGAGCCTTCAGTGGTAGGTGTGCTTGCCTTGGAATCTGTACTTGTTGCCCTAAGGGCAGCAGCTTTTGAGAGCTAAAGGCTGATCAGTACAAGGTAGTTAGCCCTTTTCTGACAGTGAAACCACTTTCTTCCTCTGGACATGCGTTTTAAGGAGGAAGTTCTGAAGTAAGCGTGCTGCTCTGGACTTCACTCTTTCAGCTAACGCTTCCTTCCTTCTGTCAGGACTGCTGTTTGTGTTCGCTACGAGGAGGAGCGCTGCAGCGAGCCAATGATGACAAGTGAGTGTTGCAGCCCTTTTGGTTTTAAGGGAGAAGCTCAATTCTGAAGTAGCTGAGGGTAAACTAGTAAAGCCAGTGTCTGCTTCTGGTGTAAATGGAGTGAGCAACACCACCTTTCACACTTGGTGTTACTGGGGGGGCTCTGGTAAAGTGGTTCATTGTGTTCATCTGGTAATGCCTCACCCTATTCTGTTGACAGCAGCCGTTAATTGCTTGGCATTTCATAGTGCAGAGGTGTAAAGTGCCACATAAAAACAAGATTCCTGATGAGATCACACGTCTAAGTACCTATTCACAGAGGATACTGATTTCTCCATGTAATGTGTGGTGGACATGGAGACAAAGGACAACCATGGCTTTAAGTAGCCCGACACTTTGAAGTTCAGGGTACCTCTGCAGCAAGTATACTGCACACAACTGCCTGTCCTCTGTCCTTTGGTGTGGTGGATCGCCTGAAGTTATTTGAAAATAGCAGTGGGACAGACTTGTAGCGCCGTGGAGAGATTGAAACTTGGCCTCCAGAAGTTCTGTGGATGTCCTGTGGAGCCTCAACCTCCTGGTTGTGGTCTCAAAAGTAACTCAGTAGTGATTAAGCAGTTGCTACGGGACAGGTTCGTGGAGGAGTAAACCTGTTAGGTGGGCTTTTGTGGTGCAGGTATGCAGGCAGCACAAGGCAAGCTGAATTGCCCTCCTGCTAAGCCTGATAGCAGTAGATTAGAAGGATGAAGATGACTTGGTTTTGCCCCACGTGGGCACTGTTGGTAGCAGTAGGAAGATAGATGTCACTGCTAGTTATCAGATGCTATTTATCATGGTTTATATGGCAAACTTCAACAGAACTGTGTTTACTTAAACTCTAAAGCATCCTCTGTTGGCCTAATGCACATTAATTTCTTTTTCCCCCTGTTCTGTCCTGGCAGGTGGGTTCATGTGATGTGTGCTGTAGCTGTATTGGAGGCAAAATTTGTGAACATCGCAGAGCGGAGTCCTGTAGACGTTGGCAAAATCCCCCTGCAACGTTTCAGACTGGTAAGGATCACCTGTCCCTCACTGGTGAGGATTCAAAGTGTCTGTCTGGTCCTGTTCAGAATCTGGGAGACTTTGCTTACCCCTCCAGCCTGAAGAATTTTATCTGCTCTCTGTATGGGAAATGGCAATTGTCCCTGTTGAACCTTTCCTTGTTCTAGGATATGCTTATTCAGATGAGGGGCAAGTAAGGGGGGCACAGTTTTCCATATGTAGCAGATGACATTTACCCAGTGGTGTAATGATGATGTTTGTTATTCTAACCCCCACTGTATGACCTGCTTTATTTACTGCAGATGAGCGCTGAGGTGTTTCAGGATATGTGAGGCATTTGTATGAGTGAATGTCTTCAGCAAGAAAGCAGCTGTACTTGACTCTTCTAACAGCTCAGTGATGAGGGGAAAATAACTTCTTAGCAAACACTAATGCTTTACAGATAACATTATTTTCCTACAATAGCCCATCAGGCCTGATACAAATGTAAATTTGGTCACTGGTAGTAGTGATAGAATTTTAACTGTCACATCATTGTGGTTTTTTGGTTTTGGTCTCTGGTCTTTGCCCATTATTCTAATTGTTGCTCTTCTCTGTGTAACTTAATAACTGAGTTCTGAAAGGCACTGTTGATTTTGGAAATTATAGCCTGATTTAATCCACGGTCTCCTGTTGGAGCATCCGTGGGTCACGTGCTTTGTACCATGTTGAACTGGTAGATACTTAATGTACGTTTTTCGTCTGTGTGGTTACTTTAGATTTATGAATTACTGCCTTGTCACAAACTAGAACTGGCAGCCTTCTGCTTGTTTGTAATCAGAAATGGCACCATGTCCGACACGTGGAGCAGCTAGCCCTTTGTGTGGGGTAAAAGCTAGTGCCAGCCAATAACCTCTAGTTCTCTGTCCACAGAAATGCATCTTCTGCAAGAAAAGAAGAAAGAGAATTGCAGGTTGCTGTGTACAGTGCTCACATGGTCGATGTCCCACGTCCTTTCATGTTAGCTGTGCCCAAGCAGCAGGAGTCATGATGCAGCCTGATGACTGGCCATTTGTTGTCTTCATTACCTGCTTCAGGCATAAGACTCCATCTCAGGCAGAGGTGAGTAGGTGTGTGGCTCCAGGGTTTGAACTGCAGTATGGAGGGACTGAAAAGTTTGGCTCTTTCAGGATGTTTGGTATAATCTAACGGTATGGTCTTGGATTCTGATCTCAACCTTGCTGCTGCTCTGACTGGTTTAGTCATGGTCTTGGATTCTGATCTCAGCCTTGCTGCTGCTGCTCTGACTGGTTTAGTCAGGTCCTTCATTGTGTTTTGTTGCTGGGATGGGGTTTCAGAGGTAAGGGAAGAGCAACTGATGTCATCTGTTTGGACTTGTCAAATGCTTTGCACAACTACTGTATGACATCCTTATCTCTAAATTGGAGAGGCATGGATTTGACAGACCATTTGGTGGATAAGTAACTGTCCTGATGGTCGCACTCGGAGAGCGGTGGTCAACGGCTCCATGTCTGAGTGGAGACCAGTGATGAGCGGCGTTCCTCAGGGGTCAGTACTGGGACCGGTGCTGTTCAACATCTTTGTCAGCGACATGGACAGTGGGATCGAGTGCACCCTCAGCAAGTTTGCCGATGGCACCCAGCTGTGTGGTGCGGTCGACACGCCGGAGGGAAGGGATGCCATCCAGAGGGGCCTGGACAGGCTGGAGAGGTGGGCCTGTGCCAACCTCATGGAGTTCAACCAGGCCAAGTCTCCAACATGGATTGGGGCAATCCCAAGCACAAGGACAGGCTGGGCAGAGAATAGATGGAGAGTAGCCCTGAGGAGAAGGACTTGGGGTACTGGGGGATGAAAAGCTGGACATGAGCTGGCTGGGTGCGCTGCCAGCCCAGAAAGCCAACTGTATCCTGGGCTGTATCCAGAGCAGCGTGGCCAGCAGGTTGAGGGAGAGGATTCTCCCTCTCTACTCTGCTCTCATGAGACCCCACCTGGAGTGCTGCATCCAGCTCTGGGGCCCCCAACATAAGGATATCGACCAGTTGGAGCGAGTCCAGAGGAGGCCACAAAGATGCTCAGAGGGCTGGAGCACCTCTGCCATGGGGACAGGCTGAGAGAGTTGGGCTTGTTCAGCCTGGAGAAGAGAAGGCTCTGGGGAGACCTTGTAGCACCTTCCAGTACCTGAAGGGGCTACAAGGAAGCTGGAGCGGGACTTTTTGCATAGGACAAGGAGTAATGGCCTTAAAACTGAAAGAGGGTAGGTTTAGACGAGGCATAAAGAAGTTTCTGGGAGAGGGTGGTGAGGCAGTGGAACAGGTTGCCCAGAGAAGCTGTGGATGCCCCATCCCTGGAAGTGTTCAAGGCCAGGATGGATGAGGCTTTGAGCAACCTGGTCTAGTGGAAGGTGTCCCTGCCCATGGCAGGGGGGTTGGAACTGGGTGGTCTTTACAGTCCTTTCCCACTCAACCCATTCTGTGACTCCAGCAGCCTGCAAGAGTGGGCATAGAATTCCGTGTTTGATTAGTTTATAAAGTTCCCATGTAGCCATGTTAGCCATCAAAACCACAAGAGTCTGTTAAATAATATCTACTGTGAAGATCTTGCATTGCTCTGAAGGAGGAGAGCCTCATTCACTAAGGAAATTAGCAACAGCTGCATCTGACAGATTAGGCTTTAAGCATTTCAAATACCAGAGGCAGAACTTTTCTAAAGATGCTGCTGTTGATGTCTTGAGTAGTTACTCACCTTATTTTGCTTCCTTGTCTGCCAGCACCACAGCTATGGTCCTCAACACATGCCTGATTGAGTCGTTGTGTAAAAAGTGATTTTTCTCTTCTCAGCGAGCTAAGGCTGCACTCCAGGATCTCTCTCCTGGACAGATAGTCATCAGCAAGCACAAGAATGGTCGCTTCTATCAGTGTGAAGTGGTCAGCCTTGCAAAGGAGACTTTCTACGAGGTGAACTTCGATGATGGTTCCTTCAGTGACAACCTGTATCCAGAGGACATTGTGGTATGTTACACAGTGGGAATCTGGCTCTGGTAGAGGGCATGTGATGCGGGTCAGTTCTTGCTGCTGCAGAGCAGACACTCCAGGGGATTTGGTAACTGTTCCAACCCTAGGTCATGTCGTGGCTGAGATGTGCTGCAAGGTGGCTTTAGGGGTGTTACATGAGCCTGACTTAGCTGAGGGCCCACAGGAATGGGTACAATAGGGAGCGAAGCTGATCTTCGGCTGCTTAGCAGCGCTAGGTCTGCAGGAAAACTTGCTGATACTTGCATACTATTCCTGCATGAAGTACTTGGAAGTTGGGCGCGCTGCTGGGATTAAATACAGATGAGATAGATGGATGTCTCAGCCTGGTTCCCCATCCCTAAAATGGGATAGTTGTTGGGGTGGTGTGCTGTGTGACTGGGATGGACTCCCTGGTGCTTTGCTACATCTTCACATAAGGAAGCTGCTTACCCTTCTCGTCTCACCCACCTTCCTTTTTGTACTCTAGAGTCGAGACTGTCTTCAGTTGGGTCCCCCTGCTGAAGGGGAAGTTGTGCAGGTGAGATGGACAGATGGGCAAGTTTACGGAGCCAAGTTTGTCGCATCACATGCCATCCAGATGTACCAGGTACAGAATCGTCGTCTGAAAAGTCATCATTCACAACAAACTGTGTTAGCAGGGCTGCTCTTAAAGCCAGCAGAGCTGCAGGGGAGTCGTGCTTAAGCACTCCAGGGGAAGTTCCTCGGTGTTGTCAGCAGTGCCGGATGCTGGCAGCAGTTGCTGGAGTTAAGAGCAAAGTGGTTGCTTGCAGCTCTACCTGTATTTGGCTACATACTTGAGTATCAGCTTCTGAAAACTGGCTGGGCTGCAGTTCTTCAGCAGACTCTGTTCCTGTAGATAAACTACTTAAAAGAAGTTTTGTTTTGCTTTTCTTTGTAGTGAGAGTGCATCATGCCTCTCGCACTTCCAGAGAGATGAATGTTCAGGCTGTATTAGTGACCGGCCAGACTGTCTTGTCAGGTGTTGCAAGAACATCCCAAAACTTGCTGAGCTACTCTTGGCATCATGGATTGGTGCAGTTTTGGTTAAAGTCTGTTGCAGTGTGCATACCTGCATCAGTATCTTATAAAATTCAAGTGGTAGAAGATTTTCATGAGAGGCCTCTGAGGGGGGAGAAGGCAAGTTCTGGGCAGGAGGGTTCCAACTGCTGAGAATTCTGGTAGAACAACCTCTGGTTTTCTTCTAGGTGGAATTTGAAGATGGGTCACAGCTGATGGTGAAAAGGGATGATGTGTATACTCTTGAAGAGGAGCTTCCTAAGAGAGTGAAGTCAAGGCTGGTAGGTAAACAGGGTGGAAACTTCTACTAAAGAAGCTCCTTTGACTTCATTTGTCCTTAAACAGCAAACTGAGTGCATGGCAGCAAAAGCTTATAATCTGATGACACTAAGTTCTGTCTTACTCTGGAGAGACTTTAATTCTACTTCTGCAGAGGTGGGAGTTTGTGGCAGAGTCACTGTTTGGGACAGCACATTAACACCCTTTCATACCTGTATTCCTCTGTTTCGTTGTCTGTTCCCATGGCAGAGAATGGCCAAGTTCCCTCACCCTTTTTAAAGTGGGAAAGGACTTCTGCAGGTCTCTGCTCCAGGCAGAGTAACTCTGAAGCTAGACATGGTTGCTCAGGGTCCTCTCCGGTCAAGTTTTGATATCTCCAAGGATGGAGATCCCACAGCCCCTTTGGGTCCCGGTTCTGTTGCTTTAGGCTTCCCGCTATAAAAAAGGTAACCATGGACACCGTGAGGGTGGCTTGCTTTACAGCACGGTCATGCGCACCCTGACGCAGAACCTGTTGGCAGGCACGCAGGATGTTAGGGGTTTAAGAGAGCACGTATCGTAGCAGAATCCTGCGAGCAGGTGTTCAAACATGCCTGCTCCGTAAGGCACAAAATGTACTAGACTGCTTGGAAGTTGGAACAGATCAGTGTGTTTATTCATTTAAGAAAGTGACGGTGGACTTAAATTAGCTACTCAGTTAAATTTGAAACCTGTGGTTCTTCAGATCTCTGATTACAGCTCACTTAAACTTATCCCCAGACCGGTAAATCTAGTTCCTTAAATATTTCTGTGCTTGGTCAGTTTTTGAAGGAGGCTGAACATTCCCAAGTGTCTGGCCTTGGTTCTTTCTTATGTGCCGTAGAAGGATGTGGAGGCAGGGATATGATGTGTGTTCTGGTGACTAATTCTGGTTTTTCTCTTAGTCAATAGCTTCAGACATGCGCTTCACAGAGATCTTCGCAGAGAAGGAGGTCAGACAAGAGAGGAAGAGGCAGAGAGTGATCAATTCACGCTACCGTGAAGATTACATTGAACCTGCGTTGTACCGGGCCATCATGGAGTAAGCGCTGCCTGTGGCAGAGGAAGAAGATGCCCACCTCCCCCAAGGATTTAAACGCTCCAGTACAACAGGCCATATTTGGATGCTTCGAATCCAGGGTTTTTTTGTTTTGTTTTTTTTTAAGGAAGCTAAAAAGCTGATGCTCTGCAGTAGCTGAAAGGCAGCTGTTGGATAGTGAAGCAGATCCCATTTGCTGAAGCTGATGCCTGCAGACTCCTGGTCTGAAGTTGGGTCCTTACTGAATAAGCCAGCTTGGGGGTGTTGCTTTCATCTCGTCAAGCAGTCTTGCTTTTTTATTAGAGACAATTTTGACAGGTGGCAAACTCTTGGGAGTTGTAGCCAGGAATCTTGGCAGCTGCAGAATAGTATGGTCTATTGTTTTAATTAAATAATGTTCCTGATTTTTGGGAGTCTCCCTGGTGACTACACCTGGGCTTGAGCAGGCAGTATTACTGGTGCTTGAAATTGAACCTCTTTTTATATTTATATCCATACTTCTGTCACAAGCAGCTTCAGTCTCTTGTTTCTCAGCACCTCCTCTCTGAGGGTTGAGCTGTTCAGATCCAAGCAGGCAGGAGGTGCTTGTGTGAACAGGTGAAATGTGAAAATGAATCCTATAGGACAATTTAACCCTCCATTTAATATCTTTTGATCTGACATTTGTTTTCACTTACTTAACCCTAAGTTTAACTGTAATGGTGTGTGCCTCAGAATCAAGGAAATCTGTCTGGAGCCCTGTGCAGTGCAGCCTTCCAACAAGAATAGGCACCCAGCTCCCAGTAGACATTCAGCTCCCAAAGAGTTTCTTTTGAGTTCCCCCCCCTAAGGCAGTAATAACCAAGGGACAGAGCTCTAACTCTCCCTTCCTGAAGTCCAAGCATCACAGTATTGGGGACGAGAGGGCAGCGGTATCTGAAGCCGCGCAGAACCTCTTCTGTGACGGCACTGTCTGTCGTGTGGCCACGGGCTTTTGCTTACAACAGCTGGTCTCGGGTCGGAGGCAGAGAAAGCACGCGCTGAACTGTAGGTATTACTGAAAGGCTGTGTAGAGCCTGTGGGAAGCAGGCGTGCTGCCCTGTTGCTGTCTGCCAGAGGTTACTGCAGCCTTTTTGTAGAGTATTCGTAGGGCACATCTCAGTTGTGTTGGAGAGAACTTGCTACCCCAGCAATAGGAAGCCGAGTTAAGCTGTGTAGTAGGTGTACCCGGAAGATGTGCCAACTTGCTCCTAGTAATTTAAGCATTAACACACCGCAGTAGGAACCGTTTAAATACATGTTCCTTTTCCATTCTGTAGGAAAGGGATTTTGGGCTGTGGAGCAGATTGGCCACCTTCTTTTTGCATGGATCGATGGGGTGACTTTTCCTGCTGGAGAAAATTACAGCTACGTGTTCTCCAGAAACGGCTCAAGAGGAGAATTTTCTAGTGAAACAGACCTAATGCATCCCTGCTTCTATAGGGACGTGGCAGTGTGTCTGCAAAGTCTGGATTTGTAACTTTCTTCTTTTTGTTACATAGGAACGCTATAAACCAAACTCTCCTGAAACCCCAGTGCATCCATTTGTGATTAGCAATAAAATGTAGTATTGTGTAGTGAAACAACTCTTGATCAGCAGAGGAATAAACTGCAACTTTTATAAAGAAAATCTTACTTATCCCTACATTTTTATAGGGTCAGGAGGCTGATACAAGTAGTGAAGATTTGCACAACCACTCTTTTGCATCGAGGTATTCTGTCCTGTTTTTGTGGTGGAATGCCTCGTTCATCAGTATTGCAAGGCTTAAGCAGATTCTGAAAGAGATAGTGGCTTTCCTTTGTGGGTTTTCTTTTTCTTTTTCCCATGTCCAAAACTCCTGGTCTCAGGGTATCAAATTGCTTTCTGATGAGTGGGATAGTTGGCGGGATAAAACATCGATCTGCTGAGGCTGGAGTCTGGTAGCTGCAGGCGCTGTGGTCTAGGCAATGGGAACGAAATTGCACTTTGATGTCTTAGCTTGAACATAAGCTCTCGGAAGCGATGTGCTGTGAGCAGACGTGGAGAAGAGGTGGCAGGGCCTTAACAAATTGCCTCTGTTCTGCCGGTGTATCAAGATTTGGTGTTACACTGAAGCGTTGGGCCAACTTCTCGTAGGCCAAACACTACCTGTGTATTACTGGAAAACATACTCCTCGTGTCATCTGCCATTCTCCCTCCAGAGAAAAGGTGCCCGTGTTCAGGCTTTCTTCCCAAACTGCCGCGTCACTTACGTGCACCTTTTAGGGGCCGCGTGCTACCTGTGCTGCAAACGCCTGGCTCAACAGCCCCATCCTGAGATGGTGACCTGGTACGGAACAGCCGGATTTGTTTGGAGTGCTGTTACCAACGGCAGGTTACCCACCTCTAACAGTACTGAGTGACTCTCCTACGCCTAGTGCTCTGGAAGAGGAGCTTCGTTATGCTGCGTTTTCTGCGGGCGCCGGGTTGGTTCTTGTCAGTTGGCTGCACTGCTGGAAACTGCTGCCGTCCTGCGCTCCGGGACAAAGGGCCTTCCTGATTTTCCCGTCAGTTCTTGTGCTGCGTTGCTCCAACGTGAGCGTACGTTACCTACCGCAGTGATTGAACTGTGTTTGTCTTCTCTTTGCGAACTTCGGCGACCCTGACGGTGGAGGGGTCTATATTATTTGACTTCGCAAAAACAATTGGGGTTATGGTTTGAGGTATAACAGGTAGCAATAAACGCTCTTCACAGGGCAGCTGTCTCAAAGGTACATATGCTTTCCGTTACCTGTACTTGGATCCTGACTAATAATAATATTCTCCGGTGGTTTGTTTTTGGAAGTGTATTTATCCTTGTTAAAGCATCATTCCAGTGAGGGCAAGGTGCTGGCAGAGTGTCAGCTGGGCAGGCGCTTTGTGGACGTGTTCGGTAGGAAATCACGCTCGATGTGCCCCACGGGAGCGCTGATGGCCCTTCGTTAGGTCCGTTGCGTGCGATGCTGCAGGCAGTAGACCTCCCCGCTTCACTCCTAGTGATGATTCCATCCGTGACTGGTTCAGGTTGGACCCACACAAAGGATTTCTAGCATAAACCAGTAGTGGCTTGCCCTTAGTTCAGGATGAGCTCAGCAAGCCAGGGATTACTTTTTATAAGGCTTAAAAAGGGGACTGAATTCTTTGTAAAGCACCTGGTTGCAGTAATGTTTCTGCCTGTGACTGGGCTTCTGGGAGACCTCTTTCTCCATCCGCAGACCCCTCGGATGACTGTCAGGAGTAGGACCCGTTCTCATTGCTCCTTCTCTCTCTTCCCAGTGTTTTGAGCTGGGTCAAGTTGATTCTGCACTGTTTGAGGAGCGTAGCCACATATCCCAAGGCTTCCAATGCATCTCTGTTCTTCCATTCTCTAACCGGGCTCCTGTTGTCTGACATGTCTGCAGTTGTGCTTGTTTTTTTAATGCAAACATGGGATGAAATCAAGACTCTGGTAGCCTGTATGTTGTTTTCAGTTTGATGAAGTAATAAATCTAATTTCAAAATGGTCGATCTGTAGACTAATTTAAGAACTTCAGCTATGTAACTTGGAAATTCTCATCACGCTGCTCTTCTTTCTATTAGCGTCATTCCTTTCTGACACCCATCTCCTTAATGCTTATCCGGTGAGTTCTCGAGCGTCTTTGAGACATGAAGCAGAGGTCTGTTATTTAAGGACTCGGTCCAGCATGGCTGTTCCAACTAGGACAGGGGCAAACCCAGAGTCCTCCCTCCTCGATGAAGTGCAGACCTGGGACACCCGCAGGAAGAGCTGCGTTGTGTCAGGTTCCCTCTGGCCGAGAGTGGTGATCCCAGAATTGAAGCCATTGGAAAATCCTCCCTGGGTATAGTCCCACAGCTCTGTTCTTTCCTTAGGTGCTGACTCTTGGATTTCACAGTGCTGGTTATGGCTTGCGGGAGTGGCAGTCAGGGAAAAGAGATTCTTCTGCCTTAGCTCAGGGATTTTTGTTACTGATACACTGAGTGACCTTGAGGGAATCGCTTACTCATTCTGGTGTGATTTCAGCCCATACCCTTGGAGCCTGAAGTGCGAGGTATTCCTGGAGCCAGCTTCTATGGTTTGGGGAAATGTTTTAACGTCTCCTTTTCCCTGACCAACTTGTAGACATCGCTCAGAACCTTTGTGCGTGCACTTGGGTTAAAGTGTGTAGTATTTTAGGTCCAACATAACACTGGGTATTGCTAAAAGTCAAAATGAGCCTTTTTTCTCTTTTCCCATAATCATTCTTCATTTCTTTGCCTTGCTGTTGGAGCTGCTCAGCAGCTTTGGATTTCTCCCATGGATGAGTGAAGAGTCCAGCACTTCAGATGGGGTGAGTGTGTCGTTGCTTGGTTCCAGTTCCGAGCATATCTGAGTATGTGCAGGGGTAGTTTCCTTTGGCCTGCCCTGAATGGTCTGCAGGGGAATGGGAAGCACATGGGTGATGTGCTGTCGTTTCAGGAACCTGTGGCAGATCCATGTGGAAACGTTGCCATAGCCTCCTTGCTGCAGCGGGAGTAATCTGACAACGCTGGAATCAAAACGATGCTGACGGCACCTTGGGAACAAGGGAAATGTGTGGGGTGGCACTGGAAGAGATTAAAATGGTACAGTGTGTGTGTGAATTTCTAGGCAAAGCTGAGTGAAGGTAGGAGAGCCTGAAAAGGTGCCCTTGGCCTGAAATCCCATGTTTAAGAAAAGTTGTTGCTTTCATGAATGGTTCTGGCGGGCTGTGAACACCTTTGGTATGTGATGCAGGAGAAACGAAACAGGGCTGCTGCCCGGGCTCTTCCACCCTCGCTGGGGAGTTCGTCCTGCGTGCGTACCCCATGCAGTCCCCTCGTGCCTCAGGGGGACCCAGCGCCGCAGGGATTGGGATGCTCGCTCTCCAGCCGGCAGCGTGGGTGGAGACCAGAGCTGCCTCCTCGCGGGCTGTAGGCGAGGCGGGTGGCTCGTGTGCTGGGATGTTCTGTACCCAGGCTGAAGTCCTGCCTGTAGAGTTAGGAGAAACCTGCAGCTCAAGATTTTATACCAGGCAGTGTCGTGTCCAAGCAGGGCTTTTGCGTGCACTGCGATACATATGTACAAGTAGACCAAAGCAAACTACTTCAAGAAGTATAATGACTCAACTCTAGGGTCTTGCTGAGTTTAGGGAGGCAAAGGGTGTGATGCACCATGGGCCTCCAGAGAAGTGTCAGACATGGGGGTGGGATGGTTGGGAATGTAAGTTGATGTTGGCTTGGACCTTCATTTCTGCAAGTGTTGCTACTTCTCGAATACAATCTCTGTTCCTTTCAGCTAATTTTCATGCCTGCCCTCACAACAGGGGTTAACTCAAACTTCATCACTGATAACCACAAGCAATTAAAGAAGTGACTCAGTATCCTGGGTGCAGGACCTGGGTGGGTGCTGACTGGCTGCCGGCTGCGTGTGCAGAGGAGCCATTAACCTGCCGCCGCTTCTGTGGAAAATAGGAGTGATGCGTGGTGCTGGTGTGCTGCTGCTGGAGACAGGGACCGTTCTGCTGAGAGCAGGAAGCTGGCCATGAGGAGCAACTTCCCTGCAGGGCTTAGCAGCCCGGCTGGTTGGAGCTGCGGTTGCCTGCAGTGGATCCTGCCCAGACTGCTTGGCTCCGCAGCAGGGACGCAGCTTTTGCTTGTCCAGGCCTG